TTTGGTTTGGATCTCAGTGTTAAATGCAATGGAAGACTTACTTCACCATTTAAACTATCTACAGGAAAGAGTGGTAGCATAGTGCCTAAGGCACTTGACTGCTAACCAGAAAGCCACCAGCCACTCCTCGGAAGGAAGATGAAGCAATCTACTTCCATAGTGATAATGCCTTGGAAACCCAAGGAGGGTTGCTGAGTCAGGGCTGACTCAATACAACATAACAACAACAACAACACAGGAGAGAGAGATTCAGCCATAAAAAAGAATGAAGTACACTGAAGTACATACAATGAAGTACATTGATACATGCTACAATATGGGTGAATCTTGAAAATATGTGAAAGAAGCCAGTCACAAAAGACAACACATTATATAATTCCATTCATATGAAATGTCCAGAATAGGGAAATAGAGAGAGACAGAAAGTAGATTAGTAATTGCTTAGGACTGGGATTGAGGGGAGATGGGAGAATGGGGGTGATAGCTAAAGGGTATGGAGTTTGTTTCTGAGGTAATAACAATGTTCTAAAACTGGCTACGGTGATGGTTGCACACATCTGTGAATTGTTGTTAGATGCTGTACTGTGGGCTTCAACTCATAGCAATCCTATGTGCAACAGAACAAAACATTGCCCGGTCCTGTGCCATTCTCACAATCCTTGCTATGCTTGAGCCCATCGTTATAGCCGCTGTGTCAATCTATCTCATTAAGGGTCTTCCCTTTTTCTCTGCCCTCCACTTTACCAAAAATGATATCCTTCTCCAAGCAATGGTCCCTTCTGCAACATGACCAAAGTGAGAGAGACAAAATCTGGACATTCTCACTTCTACAGAGTATTCCAGCTGCACTTCTTCCAGGACAAATTTATTTGTTCATTCTTCGGGCAGTTCATGGTATTTTCAGTATTCTTCACCAACACCACAATTCAAAGGCATCAACTCTTCTTCAGTCTTCCTTATTCATTGTCCAGTTTTCATATATATATATATGTTGTTGTTTTTGTTAGGTGGTCATTCATGAGGAGCTGAACAGAAGATTTCAAAGAGCAGCTCGAGTAGGCAAAACCAATTACTATAATGAAATGTTCAAAGACCTGGAGTTTGAAAACCAAAAGGGAAGAACACACTTGGCATTTCTCAAGCTGAAAGAACTAAAGAAAAAATGTAAGCCTTGAGTTGCAATATTGAAAGATTCTAGGGGCAAAATATTGAATGATGCAGGAAACATCAAGAGAAGATGGCAGGAATACACAGAGTCACTGTACCAAAAAGAACTGGTCGATCTTCATCCATTTC